ATGAAACAGAATCCCGATTACGATTACAATTGTTAGTTTGTACAAAAAAAAAACTCAGTTGGTAGCCACCCCAACAAACAAGGTCTACTTATGAACCAAACTTCAATGCATAGCATTAATTCATGGCGCTTCTACGGGGAAGCGCTTCTGTAGAAAGATTCATGGGGTAGGGACAAAGACATTAAGCATTCGTATCGAAAAGTTCCACTTTCGTAACTTGCAAGCCATCATGAAACGTAACGAACTTTTCGAAATCAAATTCACCTGCATTAAATATCTAATTTCTTGCTTGGCTCGGCTCGATTCTCTCGATACTACACCATGGGAAGTAGCAAGATACCTGATTTTCAGGAAGACTATCACGTACATGACGATCATTGTAAGTGGAACAACATTCGACACAATATGCATAAACTGAAAAAAATAGACTTTAAGTAGAAAAAAAGATAAAATCTGCAAAACGTTTATCTGGTAGTTGACACTGCCGGTAAACACTACTTATCTGATTATCAGTCCACTCAAATTGGAATGATTGCAAACTGGACAACAACGTAATTTGGAAGCTGAGTGTTCCAGCCTTCACTTTGCCTTACAGTGGAATTATGGTATTCAAAATGTACGCAGTAGTGCAAAGGACGAGAAGAACCATTAAAATTTGCGTGCACTCATTGAGTACCGCTTCATCCGCTGTTGTGACAATGGCTATGGTGTGAATTGGGAAAATGCCCTGCCCAGTATGTAAAAATGAAAGGTCCTGATCGGCTATTGGTGGGGAAGCGCTGGGATCTCACCGATTCAGTTCCGGTGAGTTGGCAAATAAGGAAAGTATTTACCCTAAACAATGAATGAAGCACAACAGAAATGTTCTGTCAATTTTTGATCATCAAGCAAACTTTTCATAGAATGTCACAAAATTGGAGTTCATAGTATCGTATCATTTCGCCCATATTGAGTGAAGTAAGGTTTTAATTGGTATACGGATGAAATGTCAAATGGTTCGTGAATGTAATCTTATGGGGAGCAATCTTTCCAAAACATAAATATTCGCTTTCATGTATATGCGCTGCTTTTGTGGTTCGAGATTACGGTTACATCTGCCATTCGTCGCCAGGGTGTGGACGAAAATATCAACTTTTTGGTTTCACTGTAACAAATCGTCTATGACGTAGGTACTTNTAAGGTTTTAATTGGTATACGGATGAAATGTCAAATGGTTCGTGAATGTAATCTTATGGGGAGCAATTTTTTGAAACATAAATATTCGCTTTCATGTATATGCGCTGCTTTTGTGGTACGAGATTACGATGACATCTGCCATTCGTCGCCAGGGTGTGGACGAAAATATCAACTTTTTGGTTTCACTGTAACAAATCGTCTATGACGTAGGTACTTACGTCACTATAGTGGAATTCTCCTGGAACTTGGTTGCTACAGTTGTACCAGAAGTAGAAATCTGAAACTGTTCAAATTCACTGAAAACTGAAGGACGAAATTAATTGAAAAGTTGCTTGGGATCGCTCTAAGCTGCTTATTATCTGCGAAAAAGAAAAAGAGTAAGAGAGGGAAGCCCCCACCTCACTGGGAGACATAACAAAAAAGCACTCTTTTTTTAAGTGTTACAACACTTGTATATGAATATTAGTAACTCTAGACAGCTAATGTCTAAAGCTTTGATCTAAGGCACAGTGCCCATTTGAATGATTTTCCTGATCAGATTGACTTTTCTACTCAGAAAACCATGATAGCCCATGAAAATTCCCACGAACCGTCTTTGGAAAACTGCTTGCGACAACCAAAATAATTTGAGAATCCAATAAAAAGAAATACAAGAATCCATAAAATGAGCGACATTCTGAACAGCAGCGATAAATAGTTATTACAACCACAAGTGTAATAAGTCATTCAGAAGTTGCTAATCTATTTGTTATTTCCATAAAAAATGGCAAAAAATACTCACATCCTCGTTCCCCAATAAGTGAAAAGCCTGTTGTGCATGTGTGGAAAAATAAATAATAGAAATCGGTTGAGACTCAGAAAAAATGATAACAGGAACAATCCGTTGAATGCAATGCCTTCGAAAAATAACGGGCCGTAGTATAAAGCTATACTGTCGCCCATGTACTGAAATGCTGAACATTGGGTAAATTCAAGTAGATCATTACTAAATCTTTATTAGGTACTTTATCGGTAGGTAAATTTGGAGAAGCTGGACAACAAGTTAGCAGCCGCACGGCTTTGCGGCCTTTCGTCAGTATTTCTCTTGACTCTTTTCTCTCTACCCAAGCTAGGAATTATTGTTAGCATCCTATGTACCCCTGCCCTCAATGGGAGGAATTCCGTGAAATAAAGTTACTTTTATTATATTTATAGAGCGGCATTTGTTGTTGCACTGAGGCCAACTCCAGTTGGCGCAAAGAAGACAAAAGTTGCCAAAGTGTAGAAAAGGTCCCATTGAATTTTGCTGGAGAGGATCCCTTCTAAATACGCAGGGAAGCTCAGCCGTACCCAACATACCCCACTATGGTTCATAAATGGATCTCACAATCTCTCATGTTTGTCAGCAAATTTTCGGCAGCCATCAGAATCATCGATCTGCCTCCACTGGCTACTATTACGCTCGCTTTCATCTCACAATCGGTTCTCATCTCTGAATAAAATCGGTTACCTGATCACCAGTTAAAGTAAGCGGGAAGGCAACATAAAGATCGAGTAGAAGGGCACAAATATCGCACCACTGGGTTTGCACTGTAATGACGTAGAAACTGACGGTGTGGAACGTTTTCCAATTCTGAAATACCATACTCATCACAAGGAAGAAGCTGGTCTTAATGATGCATAGCAAACATTAACAAAATGACAATTTTGGAAATAATATTTACTCTGAAGAGTGTAAAAGCGAGAAGGAAGTGCAGTCCGAGACCAACAACAGCTGGAATCAGGATCAGAATTGAAGCTAGAAGTCGAATTTCAAACGTCGCTGCAACATCCATTGAAGATAAGCTTTTAGCAGAAGGATTGGTACTTCAATCGCTCATCAGAACCCGGTTACGCCCATAAATAAGCGATGATCACTGAAATTTCGATAAGGACGGACGTAACAGGTTGAATTATTTGAGATTGCTTCTCACAAAAGGCCAACAGCATAACATAATAATTAGAGCCTCAAAGTGATTCTCTAGAGGAGAGTAATTTCCGTTACAAGCGCAGTACCGTATAATAGAGTAAACAAAATGAATCCTGAATAATATCAGCCGACTAGTAGAGCGTCACTAGACTTCATCACAGTTCATTTCAACGCCTAACGGATAACACGAACTTCAAGCCAAATTGTGAAGAAGAGGCTTCAATCTCACAAAATGCATAATGTGATGCTATATAATTATTGGATTAAATGATCGTGTTTATGTCCCAAAAACAAATGCTGGTCGCGTTCAAAAATCCAAAAGTTACAAACAAAGCAACCAGTCTGAATACATGCATTCTGGCTTCAAGAAAATGATTCTGACCAACTATAAAATCAAAGTAGCAACTCCAATTGCCATAATTACAAGCGACAGCCAAGATGTTACAAGTTTTTGAACCTCACGGAGCCATTTTCTCTATGATCAAGACTCCGGAGAAGACGAAAAAGCCGAAGTGTTAGGCAAGTAAAGAGCTATAACACTTTGGCTAAGTCATTACGAGAACACCAAAACATCGATACACTCATATCATGATCAAGATTCATCGAGAATCGATCACTTCAAGCCAGCTACTTCCGACCTGACAATGAAGTCTTCGCACTGCAAAACAAAATGGTTCCTGAATAACAGTTAGGAATAAGCGTTGCACACCCGGCTCATAGTTTCGCGTCATTTGCCATGGTTGGCTTGTAAATGCAATTCACAAAATTAGATTGTTGATTACCACTGTGTTTTGCAGTTGTTGGTTTCATATGTGTTTTCGACTTATGACTAATAAAGAATAAAATGGTTATATAAAAGCACTGTCTGTTCGAGTTTCATGGAGATCTCGAAATGTAGGACCACGAAGATCATGCTGAACCAATAGTATTTGGCATCGTGTTTTGTTTGGCTGGAAAGATTTCCTCATAAACATGAAAACTAGAGAATTGAGCAAAGAGCTTTGGCTGCCAAAATGATTACAGCTGAAGTCAGTTTTCATGAACAATGTCTAACTCAGCTCAATCTTCTGGTTCTAACTCGGAAAGCTTGAGGACATGATCGGTTCTGTTCTTCATATTCACTTCATTCTTGTGGATTACCAATTTTTAACGATGCGAAAGTGGCTGGAAAACAAGCTTACATAACATTGCCCAGCCGCTCTAAGATTGTTGACAAATGGAACTTTACAAAAGTGTCATAGAATCTATTTTTCACAGAAATCCATGTTCCTTTTTTTTATTTCACCGAAATATTTTTACGAAAACGTTTTCAACTGTCCGCACCACTAATTCAACCCGGTAATACTGACTTATTCCAAAAAAATGAGAATTAAATGAACACGAGCAGAATTGACTTCAGTGCCTAAACATTTGATGGTTTAACCACCTCTAAATAAACGATGTTTCCGATTGAAGCAGTGATTTGAAAGTCAAAAAATTAAGCTTGCTGGCCTACCCATTAACAGATGCCTTTTGCTTTGACAGATTCCCGACTTCCTTTTTCACGTTTTGAAAGTATTTGAGAACGAACTTCTCAGTAAAAAAATATGCTCCGAGAAAGTTTCCTAAACGCTAATTTGTAGATTCGAAGTGGCATCAACTGGTAAGCGTCTATTCAGATATGAAGGTACGTAGAAACCTATTGGATTATGAAGTCGCTCTATTGCTCACGTCAAAAAGTCATTTTTTAGTGCCATCGGAAATCAGGTTACGGTATTGCTCAAGGTATATATACCCTTTCATTCAACTAATGCAATTGGTTACTTTAGTAATACATTATTACTGATTAATCCGCTAGAAATACATACAATCTCGGTTCATCAGCAGGGGGCGACTTCACCTAGTTTTAGTCAATCTGGAACGCATGGACCATGAAAACTAAGCATTTCATGAACTGCGTCGTTAAGAGGTTCGCTGAAGCATTCAGCCAATTTCATACTCCTCTTTGAGGCTTGCCATATGTGCATGGAGACGGCAAATTTTATATTCATTTCATCAACATAATTATATGCATTCTTATTGTTACATAGCTAGGCCTCCCCCGCTAGGTTTGAAGTATCTGCGCCAAAGGATTGGTGCAGATACTTCAAATACATGTCGGAATTTGCTTCGTTCTGTCACACCCAAGACTCACGGTAGCACATTTCGGGGTAATTATTGCACTGTGATTGAGTTGACTATTTCTTGATCGATTTCATGAGAGCGTATGAATCCCGACTGATCGTTCAAATTTGTCTTGCATGACCAGAACTTAGTATAGTAAAGTCCCATGTGCTCGAGTTCTGCTCAAATAGTTGTAGTTGTTGTTGTCAGGCCAAAGACGAGGTCTTCACTTGTATCGATGTATTTATTTCATTTCTGAGCCTCTTACAAGAATACATCTCGAAAACCGATAGTAACGAACCTTACCCAAAGGACGATCATCCATCTAGAGCGACAACTCGGCGGTCTCAGATATCAATTGGAGGTCGTCGAATTTTCGGAGTTGCATTTCGTCGCAGCGATCACCTCATGATGGGAACTCGCAGTAAACAAATTGAAGAATTCGAGACTCCCTGATACAGGCCAACATCGACGTGAAAGTTTATTGTGGATGTGAAAAGTTGCTGAACACATTAAATTTGATTGTATCGGGTCCGAAAACAAGTAGAGTAATATGAATCCACATGGAACTTGCAGGGTGTTTCAACAAATTTAATAGAAAGGTGAGCTTTCTATGAACTAACACACCATGCGCTCTTCCACCCTGATTAACCGTCTGTCTGATTGTAGATTTCAGCATCCACCCTGAGGGATGAAATATGGCACGTCGAAATTGTGGGCCATCAACCTACAGTAACTCCATTAGGTTATTCGATAGAAGTCATTATGTGCAAGAATTTGTCGTCACACTTCTGCAGCGTGACAGGTTGTGTTTATCATAATAAGAATTCTCGTGAAATCACGAGACATATCAAATATTATTAATATACTATGAAACCATCCAACGAAGAATAATTAATCCCACCGGAATGCGCTACTCACAAAGCTTCATTTTTGATACGCAGAAGTATTTAAACATTGAGGGCTTATAATAAATGAGCTACTCTCTGTCTGAGTAACGGGACTAGCTTCACTTCCTGACTCCAATAGGCTTGTAAACAGCAAGGGTGCTCTACGCCAAACCCTCTACTGAACTACAGGGGTCGAGACAATTGTGGTCATTTCGCAAAGTAGCCACAAGTTTCTCTATGTACAGGAGGTTAAACATAACAGCCACTCTACCAACACATATTCAATGTTGGGTTCAAGTCCTGATAAAAATTTCACCCATTCTAAACAAGTTTTCGACCTCGAAAAGTTGTCAGTGACTCCACAACCGAGGATGAAATCACATACTGGCATCGGAACCCATAGTGGTTCTCTTCTGTTGATGTCGACTCTAAAAGAGTTTTAAATGCCTTCATGGTTTCCCATGGTATTTTGGGAATTTGGGCAGGGCCCGCTGAGATTATTCAACTTGAACTATCAACAAAGTTCTTTTTTGGGTTCTCCTGTAGTGCAATGTAGTACAAAACTCATTCTACAGGAAATGCCATCAAGATCTCATTACTCTTAAGGAAATACTGAAAAATGAACTAGTAAAAAATCCTTCTAACTGGTTTCAATCAAACAGTTTTGTGAGAAATAATTTATTAACTATATTATGGTCAACTTGCAATTGAAGTGAACTGTTGAACAAAACCAGCTCTGCAAAGTCGATGGCAGCTAGTGGAGCTCACAGAAAAAAGTAGGTTTTACAGCTAATCCTTCTACTAGTTTCATTTAATTGCCCCACATACCTTTTTCTTGGAGGCCAGACCAGATTCGAATTTGCCAATCGAGCTGCAGGAAAAGCCGCCACAATTCGATTTTTTCCTGATTTTGAAATGTGTATTAAATGTGAAAGGATAAAAGCACTGGTTTATCCATCAACTGCCCGTTGTATGTATAGGTAGGCCGCACACACACATGCAATCATCACTACGATTTACCATAGGGGCCGAATGCGGGGCTTGATCAACTCCAAAAAGATTGTAGGTTTAGGCTCTGATATGTGACCGATACCCATGCCTATCAAGAGAGATTCACTTTTCACTATGGTGTGGGATATAGGTACAAGAATAAGTGCAACCATGGCTGCTACTGTCTCCTTAATTATCATGACAAAATGATGGAATCCCTCTAAAGTTACCCATATCCTGCGTTTATTAGAGGTTATAATAATGGTGAAAACCTGCCTGTGAGTATCATTACCTCCTGAACATCACATTGATGCCATTAACCATGAAAAAAGTATTCGTGTATTTTCAATGAAACCCTTTACAACATCTGGTGCTAGTTAGAAGAGTGTTATACTGGCCCCTTGACCGGTCAGCAGTGTTAGCCTAAGCATGCATTTCCTTTTCTATAATTGTAGACGGCTCCCACAAAGAACGTCCTCATCGTTTAACGCGACTAACCGTTCAATGAATGGTCGCATAGAACTAAGAGGTTTTACAACTTATTCCTTTATTTGTAGTAAAATCGAAAAGACCGAAATGTTTCTGCGGTGTCTACAGAACACAGGAGCGAGAGAGTCCACCAAAGAAAACTGCTCTGCGAGTTTTATCAATTACTTTAGCACCCTATGCGTCAAGGATGTCAGGACAAAAGCGATTTTCTTCACGTCATCTTCGCTACACTTTCAGCAACGCTAGAAAATTGAGCATTTGCGTCGCTTTTCAGGGTCCCCAATTTTTCTGGTGATACACCACTTTTATTTCATCTAGATAAAACTGACAACTACCACATGAAACCAAAATTGTT